AGTTTCCAATACAGAATAACTACTACTTCATTTATCTGAAATTAAATGTCAAATTTGAAAAAAATATTTGTCCTAAAATACTTATCACTTTAACTTACCAATGTTATTTTAAATACACTTAATTTATTATTTTCTCACTTTGTATTAGTGTTAATTCAAATAAATCCATAATTAATCAAAATAACTTAATAAAATTATTATTCTCTCACTTACATTTATCACATTTTCTTATTTTGTATGAAAGTATCAAATATATTTAATATAGAGGGAGTGACATTTTTTTAACTCTCATAATATGGTGAAGAAATTCTTCTAAAAGATAAATAGGATTGCAACAAGTGGGGCAGATTGATCCTTTGGGTTAAAACTAAATTAAAAAACTATTTTTACACTTCTTTTTTATTTATAAGTCACAATTTTTTTTAAATTTTTTCTTTCTTAAAAGAGTAGAGAGAAAAACCAATTAATATAATTAATTTAATTTCATAAATTTGACCTCTTATAATTTCTTAATTTATGAATTTATTAGCTTTTATTTTCATTATTGATTTATTATAGGTTTTTAAATCACTGAATATGAACAAATAAATATTTTTTCAATTTTTTTTTATAAGAAACACTTTATTTTTTTAGATTATTGAATAATTAATATATTATATATATACTAATTATTTAATAAATCTAAAAAAAAAGTAAAATATCTCTTATAAAACAGAACAAATACATTAATAATTTTTGTATATTTAATAGATTTATTTGTCATATATTTATATTTATTTTGGTGCCCTGCTCTTCAATATAAACAAAATTTTGGATTTATATTTATTTGTCATATATGATGGTGTCTTTAGAAAATTTTGGACTTATATTTATTTGTCATATATGATGGTGTCTTTAGAAAATTTTGAAGGACGTGCTCTGCTCTTCAATATAAACAAAGTTCCACCGAAATTTCACCAAATGCATACAACTTCTTTTTTTTGAAAGGCAATGCATGCAAATTCTGATGTAGATACAAATAATTCATCATAGGCCCAACAGAACAGTAAAAGCAATGATATTCCCCGTAAATACACTCATCCCTATGAGATTTTAGACGCATTGGTATTCTTAGTAAATACTCATGAATTGCATTGAATATAAGTTGTTAAATCTTTTTAAAAAAAAATTGTAATCAAATTAAGTTAATTTAATGATTATCAATATTAGTTTATTTTAATTTTAATTTTAAAAATATTAATCCACTAACTCCATTATCTTTCTTTATCATTTTTAATTAATTATAATATTATTTAATTTTAATTAAAATAATCATTAAAACTCTTAATAACTTTTAAAGTCAAAACTTATTGTTAGTTTTAGTAACTTCCCTTCCCTTTCATTTATTTATTTATTATTAAATTTAGAACTTCTCCAATTAATAAAATTAATTATCACTATCCTATATAATTTGTTAATCTTTATTTTATTTTAAGTTATTTAATTTTATTTAAAAAATAGTAAATTTTTATTTAAACTTATAAATTAATTTTATTTTCACAATTTTTTTATTTAATTACTAAATAATAAATTTTAGTAAATTTAATAATTTAATATTCTATTTTATAAGAAAAAATTAATAAAATATTTGTTCTTTAAAATATATATTACATTGATTATATTTTTTTAAAATATTTCTAAATTAAGATTTGTAACTTCCACACAACTATTAAAAAATATAATAATAAATTAATATTAAATTAATAATTAATAATTAATTTTATTAAATTCATCTCACTAACTCAATTATTATCTCTCATTTTTTTTTATTAATAACTAATTAAAAAATTAATTTATTAAAATTCATCACTCACCACTAACTATCAATTTCTTCAAAAATAACCACCAATTTATTTTTATATAAATTCATCTTCATTAGGAGTTGTCACACAATTTTCTTTATACAAATTCATTCTTCATTATTTTCTTCTATAATATTTGTTATTATATTTTTTTAGATACAAAATATAAATTATTCTAAACGGTATTTTTTAGTAAAGAAACTATCGTGTTTAATTTTTGTAATTTCTTTTTTATTTATTTATTATTAAATTTGGAACTACCCCAATTAATAAAATTAATTGGATCTTTCACTTTCATTTTTGTATATATATATATATATATATATATATATATATATATATATATATATATATATATATATATATATATATATATATATATATATATATATATATATATATATATATAGGGGCCATATCTCATGAGAAAGTCTTTCTTATGTGAGAGTGAGAGGGTTTCTTTTTAGCCTTTAGATTACATTAGATGGTTGAGATTCATTGATGAAGTTATTTTTTTTCTTCTAAATCTTACTTCTCTCTCCTCATTTATTACGTTAACTTTTTTTTACTCTTTCTTCTCTCTCCTAATCTTAGTCATAAATTTTGATCCAATGGCTTATAATTACTCCTCTCACTCTCATATAAGGGACCCCTTTCTCACTTGATATGTCCCCTATATATATATATATATATATATATATATATATATATAAAGTTTTTCTTTTATTTTTTATTTTTATTTTATACTTATGTTTTATTTTTATTTTTGTTTTTTTATGGTATAATGCAAACACCATTTTAAATTTGTATAATAAATTTTTTGATAGGATCTTCAAAACTTAACAACAAAGTATATGATTTAAAGTTTTAAAATTTTCTTAAAAAACAAATTCTTTTACTTTAAAAAAAGAGAAAAATATAAATTAATTTTCATATATAAAAAAACATAAGAAGAAGAAAAAAGATAACTTCAATTGCATCACTATTAATGATAATAGTTAAGTCGACAAGTATTTAAAATAATAATTTCTCTAATAGGATCTTCAAAACTTAACAACTAAGATGTGTTTGGATTGACGGTGGACATAAATGATTCTAACAGAATTGAGTTTGATAGAATTGATTTTATTAGAATTGAGTTTAAGAGAATTAATTTATGTTTGGATACTTTATGTAAAAGTGGGTTGAACAATAAATTTCATCGTAAAAATCATCCCGAATCAATTCTGGAGGCAAACTACGAAGTACAATCTATTCTAAAGACATAATCAATTCTACTTTTGTCAAACCAAACATCTTAAAATCACTCTGAAACAATTCTCTACACCTATGTAATTGCTTTTGGTTCTTCTAAAAGTCAAATCAAACATGCACTAAGTATACGTGTTAAAATTTTAAATTATTTTAATAATAGTGCATGTCTAAATTAAAACATACTCTATAAAATTTATATGTTATCACACGATTTTGCTCCATTATTATATAAATACTATTTTATTTTTATCCTATGACCATATTTTTCTTTATTTTTTTCATTTATATTTATTTCTCTCGTATTCAATTCATTAGTATCAAAATCATCTCTCAATCAATCAATTCTTGAATATTGATAATATTATTATTGTTAATTTTATAGTATCAATAATATATTTTATTAATTCTCTATAAATTCTCTCATTAACTTTCAATATAAATTCTCTATATATTGACACACTATTTTTTAGACATATTGATAAAATTTTCTCTTTTATATTTTTTTTTAATTAATAAATATGTTATATCAAATTTTGTTTAAATATTTAGTTAATTAATACACATATTATTATAATTTTATAGGGAGATCATACTAGTTAAATCATATATGTCTTCCTTATTAAATTTAATGAAATGTCAGAAAATGAAATAGAGAGGTATATTAGAAATTACAAAATTAAATAATTTTGTAATAATTGATTTTTGCTTATAATAATGATCAAGAATTGAAGCATTTTTGTAATTTATATGTTCAGAGTATATACTTCAATAATAATTAGCTAAAATTACTTTAGAACTAATTTATATTTATAAACTAGTTTATAATTCATTTACAATTTTAAATTAATTTGATATTTTCAATTTTTTAAAACCAATTTAATTTAATAAAAAGATTTATATGAAAAAACAATTTTTTTTGGATTTTTTTTTATTTACTGAAAGAAAAATATTTTTTTATTTTTGGAAATTATATTTTTCCAAATTTATTTATTTTTTTAAAAAAAATATCAGAATTTTTTTATCTCAGAAACTTTTTTTTCTGAAAAAATATACTTTTTTCAACATTTTTTAATTTTCAGAATCTGATTTTTCTGAATTTTTTTATTTGGAAAATTATTAATTTTATTTAATTTTTGGATATTATATTTTTCAGTAATTTTCTTTTTTTTTTTTTGGTTTTTTTAATTTTATTTTTGGAAACTTTTTTTTCCGGGATTTTTTTTTTAATTTTCAGAAACTTTTTTTCTAGATAAACTATTTTTTTTTTCAAAAAGCTAAATTTTATTTACCAAAAAAATAATATTTTTTTTATTTTTTGGAAATTAAAATTTTCAGGATTTTTTTCCAATCATTTTTTTTTGTTTAATTTTCAGAAACATTATTTTTCAGAAAACTTAAAAAAAAATTTGGAATCTGTTTTTTTCCTGGAAAAAACACTTTTTTTTCAAAAAAACGTTTTATTTTATTCTCAATTGATTTATTTATTTATTTTATTAAAAAACTACTTTATATAATTAAATTAGTTTATAAAAGGGAAGTTGATTTTAAATCAATTTTAAATTAAATTTTAATTATTTAAATTAAATGATTCACTTTATTAATTATTTAAGTGATTCAATTTTTTATGGTACAATACAATTCAATTTAAATATATTATTTTTAGTCTTATTTATAAAAAAATTAATTTTTTAAATATATTAAATAAATAATGTATTTGAACAATATATTATTCAAACACATTAAATAAATAATATATTTGAACAATATATTATCCAAATACATTTCTTATTCATTGTATCTAAAAAATTAACGTTTTATTATAAATAAAACTAAAAAGAAGACAATTCAATTAACCAATACTCTAACACTCACCTATAAAAGTATAATCCTGAATGTCAATAATTCATGAACCAAAAAATGGCAACTCTTGTTATTTTCCCTTTAACTCTCTTGCTATTCATCTTCTTGTTCAAAAAACACAAAAACATCATCTAAGAAACTAACACTTCCACCTGGTCCTAAAGGCCTTCCTTTCATTGGAAACTTACACCAACTTGAAAGTTCATCTCTAGGTCTAAACTTCCATGAACTCTCAAAAAGAAATATGGTTCTTTAGTTTCCCTCAAACTTGGTTCAAGGCTAACACTTATTGTTTCTTTAGCTAAAATGGCTAAACTAGTTATGAAAACACATGACATCGATTTCTGTAACAGACCCGCTTTAACCAGTCTTATGAAACTCTCTTATGCCGAATTAGATTAATTTTTTGCACCGTATAGAGAATATTGGAGACACAAAAAAAAAACCCCTTCATCAAGTTTCTCAGTGTCAAAAGAATAGCAATGTAATATTCAGTTAGAAAATACGAGGTGACTCAAATGATGAAGAGGATATCATAACAATATATGCCCTCTAACAAACCTGTCAACCTGCAAAGTCTTCTTATGTGTCATACAAGCGTGATCGTTTGTAGAACAGCGTTCGGGAAAAGGTTTGAAGAGGAAGGAACCGAGCAAAGCATGTTTTAAGATCCGCTTAGAGAAGTGAAGGCATTGATGATTGCGTTCTTTTACACATATTATTTGTCTTTTCTTGGAGGGATTATTGATAAGTTTACTGGAATGATGGTCTGTCTTGAGAAATTGGCTAAGTTTTTGGACGGATTTTATCAGAGTGTTGTTGATGAACATCTTGATCCTGAAAAGGCAGAAGTTGCCTCCACATGAAAAGGATGTTGTTGATGCTTTGATTGATTTGAAGAATGATCCTTACTGCTCAATGGATCTCAGTGCCGAACACATCAAACCCTTGATCATGGTTAATACTTTTATTTTTCTTCACTCTAATTTTCTTCTATAATTCAATTTTTAATTTGATAATTATAAACATTTTTTCAACAAACGGGTTGATATTAATTTTTTTTAATATTGCAGAATATGTTGTTGGCGGCAACATACACTGTTTCGTCCGTGACAGTTTGGGCTATGACAACGCTAATGAAGAACCCAAGAGTGATGAAAAAAGTACAAGAAGAGGTTCGAAAAGCATATGAAGGGAAGGGATTTCTAGAGGAAGAAGATGTTCAAAAGCTTCCATGTCTCAAAGCAGTTATAAAAGAAACAATGAGATTATACCCAATATTGCCGATACTTTTCCCAAGAGAAACCATGAAAGAGATCAAAATCGAAGGGTACACAAATCCTGATAAGACATTAGTGTACGTGAGCGCTTGGGCGATTCATAGAGATCCAGAAACATGGGAGAATCCAGAAGAGTTTTATCCAGAGAGATTTCTAGGAAGTGATATAGATTTCAAAGGACAAGATTTCGAGCTGATTCCCTTTGGTTCGGGACGAAGAATTTGCCCCCGCTTAAACATGGGGGTTGCTACTGTGGAGCTTTTCCTTATTAATCTTTTATATTTGTTTGATTGGGAAATGCCTGAAGAAGTAAAGAGGTAAGATATAGATGTTGATGTTCATCCAGGACTTATTCAACACAAGAAAAATCCTTTGTGCCTTGTTGCTAAGACTAGAATTGCATGTGTGTGATCTAGAATGTGTTCATGTTATGTCATTTTTATGTTAAGAAAATAAAGCATGCATTGCATGTTGTGACTAGTATCATCTCCCTTGTATTGAAATGTTCTATGAATGATGTGTTGGTTCTGCATGTTATTTTACAATCCATATTTTTAACGGTTTTTTTTAGTCCAGTTCTAAAAAGTCAGCTATCTATTATAGCTAGTCTGCATGGGTCGTGGGTAGTCCATTAGGACCACATTGATTTTATATTGTGTTACTCTAAAATAACACATTGATTTTTCTATTATATTAATTTTTATATTGTGTTACTCTAAAATAACACATTGATTTTTCTCATTTCACTAAATTTTGTCTCTATTCTATTCAATCTTTCTCTTTTAAATATTACACATTAATATAATCAACATTCTTTTCTCGTATTCTATTAGTTTCTCTTATATAAAATATTGGCTTAATTGTAGTTTTGGTCCTCCTATTATTCATTTTTTTTTTCATTTTTGGTCCTCATAATTTAAAATCCAGGATTTTGGTCCCTTAACTATGTTTTTTTAAGGATTTTAGCCCCTTTGCAAATCTGAGACCAATTTTTGATGACATGGCACATAACCTCATGACGTGTCACATGCCAACTCATGTTTTACTTATTTCAATTTTTTTATTAATTTCGTATTTAATTTAATGTTATATTAAAAATACTCTTCATAATAAAACAATATAATATTATAAAAACTTAAATAAATAGATTGGAACCCTAAATTATTAACGTGAATGTGAAACTCAGCCACTCTCTTCTTCCTTTTGCAACCTAACGACGACTATCTCCATTGTTCTTCTGTTCTTTCTAATTTCTTCTTCTGTTTTTTACACCATTTTCGTTAGTTATCTTCTTCTTCACTAACGATTGACTCAAATTTCTCATTTACCTTAACTAACCAATCAGGTCTTAGAAAAAGAGGGATTGGATTATGGTGTGATCTTGAGTCCCCATTGATGACTTCATGGACGTATGAGAATTCTGGAAGAAGATTTCATGGATATTGTAATTTTAGGGTCATGAGGAAAAAGGGATGTAACTATTTTCAATGGGTTGATGAAGAAATGAGTAGCCGTGCAAAAGAAATGATTCGATCTTTGAAAGGCAAGAATGACGAGCTTATGCATCTAATTAGGGACACAAAGAAAAATGAAGAAATGTTGAATATGAAAATTAAGTTCATGGGATATTTTTTGATTTTATCATTGTTTTTGTTACTGTTAGTTGTGTTTGTCTTTGTTACAACACATGTAACAAAATCATGAATTTGATTTGTGTAATATGATGTAATCTCTCTTTTAATGAAATAAAATGTCTTGATTTTGGTATAATATTGACATAATTTTGACATAATCTATTTGTTTCATAAGAACATGTAATTTAGATACTGACAAAATTTTGGCACAATCTCTTTGTATTGTAAGAATATGTAACTTAGATACTGACACAATTTTGGCATAATATATTTGTTTTTTGTAAGAACCTATAACTTAGACTTTAGCATAAATTTTACATAATCTATTTGTTTCACACTATAATACGGTGGGAGAACTGACTTTTGAGTTTGTGTTTTATCGCAAATGTTGCGGATAGAAAGAGTCGCCACCGAATTTTCTTTAATCCAATAAAGGAAAGGGTGAAAAGAACAGGAAAGACCATTTGAGAATTTTCTGAGTTCGGGGGGTAAGTTATGAAAAGGGAAGGTGTTAACACCCTTTTCATCCGTAGTTTTCTACGGGCTCTTAATCGCTAGCTCACTTTTGGAATGCTTTGTGTTTGTGTATGTTTGAAAATATTTTGAAAATGCCTAAGTTTGGAAAACTTTGTAATGATTCTCGTATCGTTGAGAACGCATACAAAGTGTTTGTTTTTGAAAATATTTTAGAAAAGTGTTTGTGTGAAAAGATGTTTTGTTTTTGTGTGAGCAAGCGAATACGAGCTATCTACCTACTCAAAAGTCCTTATTCTTTTCCCCCTCCTTTAGATAGTACTACCCTACCATTAATTAGTAGGAAGCCCTATCGTTGGATGTGAGGGACAGGCACGGGTCATCGTACAGTCATAGAAGACAACTTGTAGGACGCTTTAACAATTATCATAAGGGACTAAGATCGTTTATCGAAGGTAGCATCGAAGGGTCATCGAGGGACTACGATCTTTTAACGAGGGTCTTTGCTAAAGTGTCTCATGTTTGAGGGACATGACTGTTTTATCCGGAGGCAACAAGTGAGGTTACCCTAGAGGTGCGTGTGTGCGAAGTGTTTTGATTTCAGTTATTTTTATCTTGAAATTAGGGTTTTGCTAGTGGTTTATTTTAATCTTGCCATACAAACCCTAATTACTAACAGTAATAAGGAAAGCGGTAAATTATGGAAATTAAGTGTCCTACGCTATTACAACGCTTCGGAAGTGGGAATACAAATTTATGAATGGGGATGAAAAAGAAGTAAACCCTAACTTATCTATTACATCAACAGTTGCAACCTATACAATTTATTTAAGAATGTAAATAATAAATAAGAAAAAAGAAATGTGAATGTTCTTTTATTCTTTGTGAAAAAATGGTTTGAGTTGGTATGTTTGAAACAAGTGTATGCATCACAGTCAAGATGAAAGTCATGGAGCATAGCTTTTGGTTTTTGTACATGTTTCATGTTTTAATGTGAATTTGGTTTAGAAAAGTCCTAAGAAGGCTCAAGATATCATGAAATTTTTACTCAAGTGTCTATATATTCTATGAGAATCAAGGCCTATCATTGTAAAAACAAACTTTGTGAGCAAAAGTTGAAAATTTGATTAAAAGATCAACAAAAATCCTCTTAAAAACCCTAAAAAGTAATGTTTTTGATTTAATTTAAAAATAGTGAAATAAAAATATTTTTGTGATATTTTTTAATATTCATAAAATAGAGGTGATAAACTAATACTGTGCAAAAAATCAGCTTAAAAAAGTTAAGTTTGAGTGCAAAAAGAATTGATTGAAAATGATAAAAAATAAGTAATAAAATGAAATAGAAAATGTGAAAAATAACCAAAAGGGTACCACTGAGGCTCGAACCCAGGTCCCTATATTATCAACTCTCTTTGGAAAATTTGAATTTGCCAGCTTCTTCTTCCTCGCGCGTACAGGTTATAACAACACCATTGTTAATCTTCTAAAAGCTTCACTTCTCAATCAAATAAAAAAATGTGAACATCAAACCTGCTTGATATTTGAATACGAATCCCACCATATAACTTTCAAAAGCTATGGATCAATGGTAGTACAAAATTTGTTTGGTACCAAAACAAAAACCTAACTGGTCAGAGCTGAAATTCTTAACACACAAGCAATATAAATGAAAACTAATTACATGGTTAGCTTTAGGGCAATGATATCTACATTTTTATTTTTGTATGTATGCACTAAAGATGATTGTATCAAGATATCACAGTTTAGAAAACTTACCTCTTGAAGTGCAAACTCAGAACGCGTATGGGTGCTTCCAGTTGCAAGTGGCTGAATCACTCCAACCAAGTCAAGTTGCAACGCTCTGTTTTTGAAAATGGAGGATGATGAAGATGATGTTACAGTAATGAAACAAGACTTTGGATAGGTTTTATATGAGTTATAGAAGCTTTGTGAATGATTTAGAATGAAAACGCACGAGTGGATTGGGTGTTTGGAGTTCAAGGTCAGAAATTGCAACAAATGTAGTTTCGGATGCAAATTCTGATTTCAGAGAGTATGAGGGTGTTTTAGGGCTTCTGAACTCGTTCCTTGGCTTGAAAATGACATCTCTATTTATAGAGAAAAGGTTTTAGGACAAGGTGTTGTACCCCAAAATTTTCCCTCTCATTTCTCAAAGGATCAACCTGGACCCTCAGGTTTGCTTCCATCCAATTTCAAGCCTTGAATTACAAATTTTCCAAGAAAGTCATTCACAAGGGCAAAATGGTCATTTGCATACTGAAAAGTCAAACTTTAACTTTTGTATAAAAAAAATTAAGTCTCAAGAATCATATTTCATCAAGATATGTTGGAATGTGAGATTTGTTTCATCAAGATATTCAAAAGTCAACATTACTTTGGAAAAGTCAAATTTCTAAATACTTAGAACTTCTCTAAGTGTTTAAAGAATATGACGAGTTCAGAACTTCTGATCAGATTATCACCATGATGCAAGCTGATTCTGGAAGAATTCCTAACACAAGAGTTTTAGATCTCAATAAGACCTAAAATATTGCAGAACAAAAGTTCTCTCGGAAACGCTAGAATTTCAAGTTATAAATGTTCAAAGACACGTCAATGAAACTAAAGCACTCAGCAAATTCTGGACACTTTCAAGACAGAGTTTGGTCAGAACTTCTGGGCCAGTTTTCACAAAGGTTCGGTCAGAGTTTGCAAGGGTAATCCAAAGAAGGTTACAAAGTGTGCTGCAAGTTTCCTGGAAAGTCCGAGAGCTCCTTCAGAACATGCTGGAGCGAGGAGATACAAAGATCAGAAGTTGGATGTCTATTCTAAGTCACGCTGAAGCTGAACTTCTGATCCAGAACTAAGCAATGATGCAGAATATCACGTTGCATGATTTCTTGTTTGATCAATCTCATCATCATTTAATGCTCACAACCACTTTTGGGTCTTTGTTCAAAGGATTTCTCCACGTGTGGCATAGAAGTACCTTTACTGTCTTGGAAAAGCAAACTCTTGCACAAAAGTGTGCTGGGCCCATGCGTTGCTTTTGCTTTTGAAGTTACCTTTCCTTAATTCCTGTTTACAATTCCAGCTTAGGCGCTGCTAAGGCTACTAACAACCATACTTGCTTCAACAGCAAGGCAGCACCCTAGCAGGTGATGGTTGTACTCTCCAAGCTACAAGATCTTTGCCTATAAATTAAAAGCCATTGGAAACTGTAAAAGGGTCGAAAAAATTGAGAAAGAAAAAGCCTTGAACCCCTGCTAAAATTCCAAGAGTCCAAAGTTGTAAACACAA